CCACCCCCACCGGCTCACCAGCTTCAGGTCGAGCACGCCGTCCTTGGCCTCCTGCAGCAGCGAGACGAACTTGGTGGTGAGCAGCCCCAGGCTCTTCTCGTGCCGGCTGGGCGCGCCGCCCGGCGGCTGCGGTCCGGACTCCGCCATCCGGACGGCTCACACCTGCCGCCGCCGCCGGTGTGGGGATCCCAGCGCTCGCTCCGCCGCGGCCCCTCCTCCTCCTCCTCCGCTCCGCCGCCGCTTCCGGCCGCCGCGGGGCATGACGGGAGGCCAGGGGAGGAGCCAGGCCGCTCCATGTTGAATGAAAGGGGCGGGGACTTCGCCGAGCCCGCCTTCCCGCCCTCTTCTCCAAGCTCCGCCCCCTCCTCCCCTCCCTCAGCCATTCCGGCCGGCTTTTCTTGTGCGGCGTTCCGTCGGCGGTCTCTCTCATTCTCTCTGTGTGTGTGTGTTATAGCGACGCCTACTGGCCAGGAGACGAACAGACTTCCTTCTCTTTTGCAAATTCTTCAGATCGAGGAGAAGCAGAGCGAGCGGCCGGCTGCAGAGTGGGAAGGGACCTTGGAGGTCATCTAGTCCAACCCCCTGCTCACGCAGGAGGCCTGTTGCACTACAGTTCTCATCACTTGCCTGCAGAAGTTGTGCAATGCTCCAACACACTGGAAGTTTTTAAGAAGATGTTGGATAACCATGATATTCTGTTTTAATTTGTTTTTTTTAACTTTTGTATTCTCTGTTTCTTATTGTTGTGAGCCGCCCTGAGTCCTTCGGGAGAAGGGCGGCATACAAATCCAATAAATGAATGAATGAATGAATGAATGAATGAATGAATGAATGAATGAATACATAAATAAATAACCATTTGACTGAAGTGGTGTAGGGTTTCCTGCCTGGGCAGGGGGTTGGACTAGAAGACCTCCAAGGTCCCTTCCAACTCTGTTATTCTTTTTCTATTTCTATTACCCACCCACCCACCACCCACCCTGGCCGGCATAGCTGGCAAGGTTATGTGCACTGCAAAAAGCTTGAAGCCAAAAAGGCTTGTTAAAAAAAAAAAAAGGATAATAAAATTAATGCAAATAATGCAATTAATTAAAAAAAAAACAATAACAGTTGTAAATAAAACAATAATACAAAAAAATAAAAATAAAACAATAACGTAGTGGTTTACACGTCAATATAGAACCCAGAAGTCCTGAGTTCTAGTCCTACTTTAAGCATAAACCCAAATTGGGTGACCTTGAGCCCGTCACTCTTGCTCAACCCCTCTGCAAATTTCCTGCCTTTTTATCAAGACACCAGATGGGCATGCCATGCATTCTCTTACGATATAAGAAGTCGGAAATGCTTTTTTTCTTCTCCGAATAATTTAATCAACCCGAATAGATAACAGAGTTCCAAAACAGAACCTCACGATATGTGAATAATCTCAGTGAAGCACTACATAGTTAGTAGTCCCTGTGTTATTTTTCCAGACCGTTCTTATATTTCCAAACTCTGCTTCCCACCCTGAAATGCAACACAAATCATTAGCTTCTGAATTGTTGTGTCTTAAGAGTTATCTGGGAATGACATTTCAGCTGGTAACTGCACCGCACTCCTATTTAGTCAAATAACCAGACCTCCCTGTCACTTGGAAGTATTGATGTTGACGTCATCCGGAAGCAACTAATGTCTGAGAACATTGATAATTGGAAAACATGCATACTAACTCTGTGTGTGTGTGAGAGAGAGAAAGAGGGGGGGGGTATACACAAATTTTTGGGGATAGGTGAAAATGCAAAACTCCAAAGATAAGTATTCTCTGCTGTGATACAAATGCATTCAGGGCAGTGGTGCTATTCGGTTCGGGCTAACCGGTTCGTGCAAACCGGTAGCAGTGGCTGCGGGAGGCTCCGCCCACCTGCCCGGATGTCATCGCATCCCGTTTTTGATGCTCTGTGCATGCACAGAAGACTCCGTGCATTTGCAGAGGTGGCGCAAGCAAGCGCACTCACATTTGCAAACCGGTAGCGAAGGTAAGTGAATGCCACCACTGGTTCAGGGAATAAGATCAATATCTTATTGTAAGATATTGTCAATGTTTTAGAAATCTCTTTGGGGAAAGTATTATTGCTATGTAATAGTTGCGCAGGATGTGTCACCTCTGCCCTGTTAATTTTTGCAACCTTAGTGTTACATAGAATCTGGGAACAAATATCTTGGAAAGCTTATTCCTGAAAAAGTAGGCATATATAAGGGATGTTTCTACATCGGCAGCTAAATGTGGCGGCGTAATTGACTACTCTACCGTTGTAATTGACTAATGCAGAGTGACATTTTATAACAATAAAGTTATTTATTTATTTATTTATTTATTTTAAAACCTTTGGTTTAAAATCTACGGTGATTGATGATCCTTGGGGGACTTTTCAGAAGAGAACATGAATAAATTTTTTTATCAAGAATGGAAAGAAGGATACCAATGTGGTTTTCAGGAGCATATCATTATTCTGTCTGAGGAGAAATAAACATATTTGGTAATAAAACACATGGGACACATATCCCATGTCTTGATAAAAAGGGACTAAATTTTACATGCCTATGGAGATTCTCAGTCATCCAGGTCATAATTGTCTCAATGATGCTTTTTCAAAAAGGCGACTGGAACTGTGTTTTTTTCCCCTGAAGGAAGATAAGAAAAAATTTCACTTCTCATCCTAGAAGCTGAATGGAATGGAATAGAATGGAATAGATGTGGAATGGAATAATGAAATGGAATGGAATGGAATGGAATAGAGAAGAGAATAGGGGAGGGGAGGGGAGGGGAGGGGAGGGGAGGGGAAGGGAAGGGAAGGGAAGGGAAGGGAAGGGAAGAGAAGAGAGAAGAGAACAATATAGAATATAGAATGGAACAGAACAGAACAGAATAGTAGAACAGAACAAACAGAACAGAACAGAACAGAGGAACGGAACGGAATAGTAGAGTAGAGTAGAGTAGAATAGAATAGAATAGAATAGAATAGAATAGAATAGAATAGAATAGAATAGAATAGAATAGAGAAATGGAACGGAATGGAATAGTAGAGTAGAGTAGAGTAGAATAGAACAGAACAGAACAGAACAGAACAGAATAGAATAGAATAGAGAAATGGAACGGAACGGAATGGAACAGAACAGAACAGAAGAATCTATAATAGACGTACAAGACAGACTCAAAGATTCATCATTTGAATCTTCTGGTCCATATTGATGAAGCTTCTTGGATGAGAAGCAAATATCATTTTCTTCCTCCAGGAGGAAAAAAAACCCCAGTCCTGTTGCCTTTTTTGAAAAAGCATCTTTGGAGGAAATGTACACATTTTTTTTTTCTATTGATGCATTAGCTCAGCTCTAGAATTGCCATCGTCCCAAAACACAGTCTCTTGAGTAATGCATTAGTTGACCTTGAACGTTTAAGAAATAAAAACAAAACATTCAGGAAGAAATCGTGGATTCTTGCTGTGGTCAAAAAAAAAGCCAGCAGCGGCATTGATGCGCTGAGCTAACATTTTGTGCTGTTTCATCTGCGTTCCCAAAGAAATGAAACTGACCGGTAGATTTGCTGTTTTCTCCGCCTTTCTATTCCAACATCCTGAGTGTTTTGGCTTCAGTGTTACAGAGCAAACCCCCAAGGAGCCTGTGAGGAGTATTAACTGACGGAAATGCTATTCACTGGCTCGGCTTCCTCTGCTCGGCCCCCGTCCAGTCCTAAGCTTTGAACCGGGAAGATCCTGCTGCCACTGAAGTCATGGGGATGTCTGCCGAGGACAGCAGTTCCACCCATCCCAGAGGTAACCATTAAGAAATGAAGGTTGGGGATTTTTAGGGGCAGCATGGGATACGTAACCCTTTCTACCAAGCAACAGCCCAATATGCCAGTCACTCACTTCTTTCGATCTGTCTCTTAAAATGACCAAAGGGTCATTTTATTCCATACAGGGGGAACGCAGGAACTCAATTCCCAAACTTGGTGATTGGAGCCAGGACCAAAATCTGGAATCTGGTTGATATTGGAACAGAAAGTTCAACCTACTTTAAATTGGTGACGTTCCATAAATCTCCTCCATGATCTCTCAACTTTAAAAAATGTTAGGTTTTTTTTTTAGGGACAACTCAGCCTGAGTAGCGTGTGTCATTCCAGATGTATTGACACCAGGGTCTATCATTTCATTTCATTTCTTTGGGGGCCGACTTAGCTGACCGGTTTTGAGAGGCTGCATTTTCGTGGCCTTCTTACCCCAGCGCAGAGGTGCTATTCAGCTGGTTCTGACAGGTTCTGGAGAACCGGTAGCGGAAATTTTGAGTAGTTCATAGAATCGGTAAATACCACCTCTGACTGTCCCCCCCCCCCAATCTATTCTCTGCCTCCTGAGTCCCAGCTGATTCGGAGGAAATGGGGATTTTGCAGTATCCTTCCCCTGGAGTGAGGAGGGAATGGGGATTTTACAGTATCCTTTCCCTGAAATGCGATGGGAATGGAGATTTTACAATATCCTTCTCCTGGAGTGGGTGGGAATGGAGGTTTTGCAGTATCCTTCCCCTGGAATAGGGTGGGAATGGAAATTTTGCAATAACCTTCCCCCAGGAGTGGGGAGGGAAAGGAGATTTCGCAATATCCTTCCCCTAGAGTGGGGTGGGAATGGAGATTTTGTAGCATCTTTCCCCTGCCACGCCCACCAAGCCATGCCCACAGAACCGGGAGTAAAAAAAAAATGAATTCCACCACTGCCACAGTGAGAATAGCTTCAATTCTGCAATCACTTTCTTCTCCCTCAAAGCCCCCTAAAAACCCAACCTCCTCTGTGTAGCAAGGAACAGCCCCCCCCCCACCCCCAGGGATCTTTCAAACCTGGGGAAACCCAGAGCTGACCTTCCACCAGCTGCAGAGTGATGCATTCATTTCCCGTTTCCTTTCTGCATCCTTGATGAAGCATTCCACTGCCTGGAAGTTTTACTTCCTTTCATTGTTGTGGTCTTAGTGGGAGAATGGCCCGAACTGGAGAAAGCAGAGAAGCTGGCAAGAGGGGCCGCCTTGAAGTGGGCATCTGGGGTGTTTTATCAACCGGACAAGCTGGATAGTCTTCCGCAGTACCAGATTCGGGAGGTGCAGCGTAACAAGTTCATCGAATCCCGCCTAAAGGTAGGTAAGCGTG